AAATCAACTTGGTGCGCTCAGTTGACAGCGTCTTCGCCGTCCAGATCTCATCACTAGAGACGCCGCGAACTATTTTCAAACCGAAGGTTCGATGATCGATTCAAGTGGTTCGAAAGGCTCGAAAAATTTCGAAATTTAGAACTTTTCCTATCGAGAAATTCGATGGAAGTCGAATTTTCGAACTTGTTAAACTAACAAGTTCAATGCTTTTCGAAATTTCGAACTTATTACGCTGGGAAATTCGATACTTGTCGAACTTTCGAACTTGATAGGCTAAGAAATTCAATTATTTTCGAACTTTCGAATTTCTTGCACTAAAATGGTCGAAGCTTTTCGAACTTTCAAACTTCCTACGCTAAGAAATTCGATCATTTTCAGACTTTCGAACTTATTATTCTAAAGAATTCGAAAATTGTCGAACTTTCGATTCCTGAAAAGTCAAAAGTTCGACGAACTTCGACCTTTTTTGGTAAAAGGTCGAAGTTCGTCGATCTTCGAAAGGCCGGCGGCCGGTTTCATTTGGATTCAAGCAGTGAAGTACAGTCGTAATTGTTTTTCGCAATTTTACTTGCGGTGCCGCATTCTTTGCGAAAGGCAATATTTTTTATTTCAATCATCTGGCATGCTTGGTTTTAAAGAAATAGATTCGCGAAGGAGCGAGGAAGGACAACGGGTTTTTGACAACTGTCGTTTCTACCATATTTGAAGCGCGCTACAGCCGGAGCTATATATGGTAGAGATCTTAAACTTTTTAAGAATGATCTATGTATAGCCTGGGTAAGTGTCGTTTTAAGATATGATTATTGTTGTTCAAGACGAGTTTTGAAGAAATATCAAATCATGTACCTACAAGCAATTATGCCCTAAACTTGGTAATTTTTTCGTCGAAATTGTTTGAGGTATCGCATTTAATTTAGCACCAAAGACAGTACATATCATTACCATCTGCAGAATTCAAAATGGGTTTACTGTTTTTTTTTCACGTGCAGGAATAAATTAACTAATGGGGGAAGATTTCTAAAATTGGTCAAGTTCAGCACGTCATAAGAAAAAACTTTTTTTTTTTATTTTACGTTCCTGGGACGTGTTTCTTTTAACCTGTACCCATTTAAATAGGCGGAACTTGTTTCGTAGTTCTAGGCCTCTGAACCTCTTAATATGCAAGAATACAACACTTCCGGCGAATTCTTTGTATTTTTAATTTAAAGCTTTTTTTATTTTTCATTTATTGTTATGTTTATTTATTTATTATTTTTTACCAATGGCACAGTTATTTAGGTCAAAAAGATATAGCTTTGAACTTCCGAACCACCGAGCATGTGACGGGTAGTTGCTCCTGACATCGAGTTTCTAACAATGACCATCGACGCGATCTTTTATGCAGTGAAGAGCGACAGTAGCTATACATATGCATAAATAATTTCAGAATAAAATAATCTCAACCATGCCCTCTTTTCCCGCATATCTAGGGAGGGGGAGGGGGGACTCGAGCCATTCCCTCCCCCCCCCCTTTCCCTCCTGTTTTTCCTTTTCCGACGCCACTGGTATGGTAGAACGCTCCTCGACCTCAAGTTGTGTCAGCTTCTGTGTTTTTTGCTCGGCGTTTCTTCCGTCCCGGGAAAAAAAAATACTCCCAAGCAATTACAAACTAAAAAAATTGTCAAGGTGCAGGCGAGCTGGTGTATGTTGATATAGATGGAAAATCCCGAGACTGGAAATGAAATTCGCAAGAAAAAGTGTAAGAAGAAAGAAAAAAGGGGACAGGACAACGTCTTAAACTCGGCTGAGTTGAATTTAAGACGTTGTCCTGAGCTGGAGTTCGAGGCGTTGTCCTGTCCGCTCTATTCTGTCTTATAATTTTTTGTTTCAAATTTCATTCCCAGAGCTAAGTTTGAGGCGTTGTCTTGTCCCCTTTTTTTTTGTCTTCTTACACTTTTGCTCTCAAATTTCATTCCCAGTCTCAAGATTTCGCATCATGTACAAATTAAACATACTTTATGCCAGCGTCACTCGGGCGGCGTTCGATCGGATTACTACCAGCGTGAAAGGGGGTAGGGAGGCAGTTTGCCAGATCGCTTCAAGGTTTTTCTGAGCCTCAACCACCTGCCTGAACCTGGCTGTTTCGAACTGAGTAAGTATCGTTAAACAGTGAGTTCGTGTGATCACTACTTTGTGATGCACGTTTATGACCCCTCCGGGCTGGCGGTCACAATTACTGATCTATGGCCACACGTCACTCTGCACTGGTAAATATTCCAGCATATCTCGGACACTCGTCGTCTCATTTAATTGCCTGACCAACTTCGCGCAGTCCAAATATCACACCCGAACTTTTCGAAACCAGATTTCGTGAAAACCAGTGAGGCGTGATAACGTCATTTGAAACTGAAACTGTAGCGGAACATGAGAACCGGACTTCAAACTTTGCGCGCTTGGACTTAAGAAATTCGAAACCTTCGAACTTTTTTTTTCGAATTTAGCCCTAAAAAAAGACCGAAACCTTCGACCTTTTCGAACTTTATGTAGAAAGAAATTCGAAATATTCGAATTCATCTAACTTTATGTCTATAAGAATTCGAAACGTTCGAAGTTTTCGAATTTCGGATTAAAAAAAATCGAAACGTTTGACCTCTCGAATTTCAAGTTAGGAAAGTTCGAAATCTTGTAATTTCTCGAACCTCAAATGAAAAAAATAATTGAAATAATCGAACGCGAGCTTATAGAAACCCTGAAAGCTTCAAACTTTTCGAATTCGAAAATCCACAATTTTTGAAAGTTGCGATTTTTTTTTTACTGCGAACCTCAGTTAGGCGCGAAAATATGGAAACCATTTCAAACTCGAACCTAGGGTCGTTCGCGGCATCCTTATACTTTGTTTCACTTTAGGTCCGAGCGCAGCCACTGTTCTTACCCGAAGGGCCAATCAAAGAGCGCAAAAAGCGCAACATCATGGCGTGGTCTCTGCGCTTGGTAGGACTAGCCGGCGGAGGAGCACGCACAGAGAGACGGCAAATGCCGGTTGGTCCTATCAACTGCACATTGCACGCCACAACGTTGTGCCTCCTTTGCTGTTTGATTTACCGTAGCTTCGCCTCATAACATCGGCCCGCTCGGACCGAAGCTGAAACGAAGTATAGTCATAACTCAGAAAAAAAAGAAAGAAACAAAAGAAAAAAGTATCTTGTTCTTTTGGCATGCGGACGCGCGCTCTTTCCGCTTGAAACATCTCTCTCTGACCTTGACGAACGCTCTTTTAAAGAGATAATAATCCGTAATTCGGATTTAAAAAAAAAAAAAAACAATGCTGGAGATGTAGGCGGGACGCTACAATCCCTACAACACTACTAGTAAGGCGATATCTCAAATGGACGACCGTATTTTTGGAAAAAGAAGTCGAGATTGAACCAGGCCGACGAGGCGCGTGACCGTTAAGACACCTAGTTTCCTCCTCTCTTCGCTTCGCTCCCTCAAGGCCGGGAGGCAGAGAAGACGCGAGGCCGTTCCCTCTCCTTTTCGGAGAAACATGACGTCAACAGTCCTGCCAAATGCGCCTCTTTTTTTGAAAAGTACGGTCATCCGTTCGAGATACCGCTATATGAGTGATATTTTGGTGTTTGTAGCATCCCGTTGCAGGCTTCTTCCGCGTGTTCTGGGGAATTCATATTTTGGTTCAGCATTCCTTTAAACGCCATGCCAGAGATAACTCCGCTTCAACGCTTTTATAAAACTCCTATTGCCACCGTCAAGGCACGAAACTGGGTTTAATTACGAAGCAGTGTATAAGCAACACGTGTAGTGCAAGTGTCAAGCCCTACATGACGTTGCGCACCCATTAAACACTTAAAAAAGAAAACAAGCATGTATACCCGTAGAGTAGCATTGGAAACCAGGCAAACGACAGGCTGTTATTGGCAGCATATCGAGGAGCAATCTTGTGGCGCCGCTTGCAAACAAGGCGAGTAGGACTTTATCTGAAAGCTGCGACACCTGCTCTGTACACACCTACATGCATCTTACACCGTGGTTATAAATAATGATAGCTATTCATAATTAGTTATAAATGTTTGCAACAAATCAGATTTCACGAGCAATTCAGTGGGAATCCGACCTCTGACCGAGCAATCCGCAGACCGACGCCTCTGCTTGGTGCCACAAGAAGGAAGTGAGACCCCAAGCAACCGGACCAAGTTTGGTTCACGAAAGCTTGCGGGAACAGGCAATCGCGGGCACGCAGCTGACTGCTGAAGTACGAAGCGTAGCTCCCACGTGATCCCATGACGGCACAGGGCAGATCATAACGCACCAATGTATAGCGGAGCGAGTGGATTTCGGTTAGATCAAGCACAGCAGCCTAAACACATCACCGGTCGCTATAAACTTCTTCCGTTAACGATACCTTCAGTTACCTCAAGGGACTCCCCGCAATCGAAGTGCGGTAAGAGCTAAAGACGTTCCCGCATTCTCGAAAGATTCAGAATCTGCGAAAACCTTTCAATGAAGCATACTTCTCACATGCTCTACTCCTAAATAAATGGGAACTTCTCTTGCATTCTAATAAACCCGATAAGCATCTTCCTATACCGTGGGAACAACGCATCCAAAACCACCCAGATATTCCTGCGAGAATGCGTAACAAATCATATTTAAGGCATAATGCAAACACGACTCAATATGTGCTCCGCGGGTTTATCACCATAATTAAGAGGGTTTTTTTCCCCCCGTTGCGCGCAAATCTGGTGGTTTTTGAAAATAGCTTATACCTTTTAAATGATCTGTTATAAAACTTTGTCATCTGCAGGTTTACGCGGCTAGTTCTAAACTTGGGAAAATCAAAACGTTTGGCGATACAGCTAGAGTTTCTGGTAGTTCTGATTTCTTTGTGTACATATATGAAGTAAGGTTATAATCATTTGGGGAAACTTTAAAAACAAATGACACCGTTTTCATGCTTACACCCTCGCATACATATTTCAGTTCTTACACCCCTGCATTAATCTTACCACTTCCACATTTCCATTTTTCTCTTTCACCTCAACCACCGCCAATTTGTGTTTGTCATGATACAGGTTTCGTTCGAGGACTTTTCCATTCATCTGAAAAGAAGTGCATTGCATCAATTCTTTAATGTATTTGAAGACAGCATAAGACAATGTATATTGAACTTCGGTTATTTTCCTTGGTACAAGACAACCCAGAGGAAACTTTGCACTCTCCTAAACAGACTTTGTTCAATTACGTATCAAAATATTTTTAATGGAATAATTGTCTAATCATGTATAGTCATTTCTGTGAGTGCACTTAAAATAAACAGGTGAGGCAGCTGCGTAAGGTGGTAGAAAGTGAATAAAGAAATGTATGATGGCAGCTATAGTAAACGTGGCCTCTACAAGCTAGTTAGCTGCCACGAATGTCACAAGTGTGACATTTATTGCAACTAGCCAGCTTCTATAGAGCATCCCTGGAAAGCGCGAATATTCCCGCTTCCCCGGGATATTCGCGTTATCGCGTGTTATAGACAAGTGTCATTACCCCTTAACAAAATGTTGCATTAAATGCAACAACATGGCTCTATGTGACAAAAAAGCGTGTGCAATATTTTTATAGCATATAACGCATACACATTTGAAATTTTAAAACATGCTCTAGTGCTAGTATGCAGTCTGGCAGCTTGTTCCACGCGACTGTTGTCAACTAAAATGGGGGCGTCAAAAATATTTTGTGATATAGATCATAATCCATATTAGGCACATGATATAGTCTCGGGAAAAGTCGAAGTGTTTGAGCAGGTTTAACTTTGTGTGGGCTGGTATAATAAAGTTATGAAGAAGTCGTCGGTCGCGAAATATGTCTTCTTATCAAACAGAAATAGCATTTTTTTTTAATTGGAAGACACTGTTTCGTGAAGTGTAAGCCTCGAAGATATGTATCACCCCCTATTTTTATTTCTTTGATTTGAATATTTAATAACTTTTTGAATGTTTCTTTAACGAGCATGGAGTCTATTTTGTATAGAAATAATAATTTAGCAAGAGATTGTAATCCCTCCGCACGAGAAGTTGCGTGAATTGGGAATGCAGGCGAATTTTCAATTTAAAGATTCGATCACTGTAACACCTCAGTGTTTGTATTTTGATACCTTTCCAGTGAGTGAATAAATTGTTCTTAAGCAAAGGCTATGGAAGCTTCTAGTAGTAAAGGTCATGTTTTTCCAATTTAAAATACTTTACCCATGTGTCAATGATACACCATAAAGAATCTCCAGGTCATGGTTTAGTAAAATACGGTCTGTTCGATTCCTAATCGTCCTATAGATCAGGCAATTATCTGAAAATAGTCTGAGTTAAGGGTAACATTAATGAGTATGGCATAAATGCAAATTAGTAATTAGAATGAAATCGAAGCGGATAACTATCAAACTTTAGGTTTCTTAGGAATACTGTATCACATGTGGTTTTAAAAAGTAACTCCTTGTGTTATGTTCAAAAATTCTAAATTCAGATAACTAGGCAGTTTTCAATGTTCAAACACTCGAAAGATTAAGCATACAATCTTGTGGAAGAAAATAAAATGCTTTGGACAATCCCTAAAAATAGTGTGCATCAATCCCTCAGAATATTTTTGTTTTGGAGATCTCTGACTATAATTAAAATCATTCAGCTTCACAAAACTTGTTTTCTAATGCCGCGCTAATTGAAAAATAAAAAATATCTACAAGAAAATTAACTATATGGGTATTCCAAAACAGGCGAAAAAGTATCACGGAAATCTAGTTTGAAAAATGGGCCGGTAAGTACAAAACAGGGATACGCTAAGGAAATTGGAAAAATGAGTAACGATGCATGTTCCGGTCATGTGCACTCTTATGGTGGATTCACACTGGAAGCGGATCCGCGTTCGCGAAGCGGTCGCGGTTGCGGTTCGCGAGCGACCCCGTTCAGACACACCGGGAGGCGGTTGGCGGTTTCTCGGCGATCACGCGCGATCTTTCGAGACTTGCGTCCTTGCGTTTGGCAACCCTGGTTTACAATCCAAAATCCTCTTTAATTCAAGATCCAAAGTCAAACTTTTGCTATTTTGGCACTCGGAAGTATTTTCTCGGGGATGTTCGCACGCATCACGAGTTCAGGCAGCGAAAAAAGAAGCATGGACCCGCCAAACTCGCCTGCAATTCCCTCGACTTCGCCACAAGCAAAGCCCAGCTAGGCGCGCCTTGCTGACTCAGAACAGGGCGCCCCCGACCTTTTCTTTGAAATGGACCCTTCCCGCATGAATAGCTGACCTTGTTTTCGGGATAGAGGGCCAGTTTTCCCCTCTCGTTGTTGTGAGTGGTGGGGTACACCGTGATGCGGGGGAATGTGTTCGGTGCTAGCCGGTCGTGGCTTCGTTGGTGGTGGACTCTACTCTCGTCACTCACTCGTCGATGGAGTCTACTGTTTGTTTGACATTAAGCTCAAATAAACGCCTTATGGATTACCTCTGCATTGTCTGGTAACTAAACTTTATTCCTTGAGTAGGTTCCCTTTATTTTATTAGTAGTAAACTTTACAGGTCGAGCTAGCGCAGGTACCGTGCACCCTCCGCGGTAGCGCGTTGGCTACGCAATCAAGCTCACGACGTCTCTATCGGCCTTCGTGGTGGCCATGCACGGCGTCGAAAGCTTTTCAATAGTTCACGCGACTATCGCGGGTAGAAAAGCTGACATTTCGGTCGATCAGGGGCGGGTTCCGACGTTTTAGAGGCAGAGACTAGCAAGTCAGCGAGCTTGGGCTTCAGCACCCGGAATAATAAACAAACTCTTACCCGAACCAAATCAACGCTGCGAAGTTCGTTGAAATTACGACTCAATTGTTTTCGCGACCGATTCAAGTGACGGACGTGAACATCAAGTTTCTCCGTTGATCTGTCGAAAGCTAAGACTACAGCGCTAGGACTACAGTGCCTTGGACGCCCCCGAAAGGTGCCATCTTGTTTTGAAAGTCACTGACGTCACGTCAGCGTCGCGTTGTGGTTGGTTGCCGCTTTGCGGTTTGGGAAAGCGGTTGGGAGAAATCGGTTCCGAAGCGGTTGTCAAAATGCGCTCCAACCGCTCGATATCCTAACCGCTTTGCGGTCGAGAACGCGCGGATCCGCTTCGTATTTGCGGATCCGCTTCCAGTGTGAACGCGCCATTAAGCTGTGAAAACAGAGATCAAGATTTAATGCTGCAACTATGTTGATAACCGTGGCCCTTTGCGTGGGAGGACAGCACGATAACCGCGAGGCCACGGGCGTGCTGCCTACGTGGCCAGCTGCGCGCGCGGCATTCCTAAGCCAGTTCCGCACGCGACATTTCTAAGCCTACCTCCGAACCTCGAGAATGCTTCAAAATGCCTCTCTCGAACAAGTCTCTGACCGCAAGAGTTGAACATGACTGTGGTCTAGACGTCAGGCCACAAGTGCAGAGACGCCGACTGCCTGCCAAGAGCCCCGTCGAAACACCTCCCTGCAGCAGCAACGACGATGACGACGAGTGCTTCCTAGGCGCAGTGAACGCCGACGACATGACATGGCGAAAAAGAGACAATCCTAAGCTTCGCGCACTAGTCGAGCACCTTGAAGAACGAGGGTGCACTCTCCCTAGTGTCCTCTCGAGAACCCTGCCAGCCTTCGCCATTCGACAAGGTGTACTTTACAAGGAAACCTTCGGACACAACTTGCCATGGCTGCTGGTAATTCCTTCCGACCTCAAAGAGCATATATCTTCCAAGCCTGCCCAGACGAACCGACGTTTAAACTCCTTTGTTGCAGCCGTACGCTGGCCCGAACTCATGAGAGGTATTACTGGTCCTAGCTCCCGAATACCATTCACCTCAACACACGATCGTGCCACGAGGGCCAGCGACGCAAGAAACAGCCGACAAAACCAGCAGGCCTCCTGCAGCCAATTCCTCCCCCGGCCACGCCGCTCCAGCAGACCGGAATGAATTTACTTCGCACGTTGATGGCGGTTTCCCGCCATCAACGCCGGGAAACCGCTGGATAATAGTCGCCACATATTATTTCACGCGGTTCACCGAAACAATATTCGTTCCTCCAGGAACTGCTCTACAAGTCTTCAAGTTTTTCACCGAGTTCATCCTCTTCCACCACGGCGCTTCCGAACTTCTGGTTACGGATCGCGGGTCATCGTTCATGGCAGAGCTGGTGAAAGAGATCCTCCGTCTCAGCCACACCAATCACCGGCAAACCAAAGTGTGCCATCCTCAGACTAATGGAGCTGACAGAACGCCTAAACAAGGCCATCGCCGACATTATGTCGATGCATGTCTACGTGGGACACAAGAAATGGGACGAGGTCCTGCCATATGTCACATTCACCTACAACACATCGGTTCAGGAGACCACCGGAGGAGCATGCTGGAGCTTGGTCGTAAGGTGACCACGATGCTTGACGCCATGCTACCTCACGAGCCAGCGGGCGACGGAAGTGACGACGCCCAAGTGGTTGCGCAGCGACCAGAAGTCCGCAGCTCGCCCGAGTCCGGATCAAAGACCAGCAACGTTTCGACGCTGGCCGCTACAACCTTCGTCGTCTGGACGTTCACTTTCAGCCCGGAGAACGGGTGTGGGTGTGAACACCGATACGACGTCGTGGCCTCAGCGAGAAGCTTTTAAAGCGCTTCTTTGGACTATACAAAGTCCTTCGGCTCCTGGGAAATTTCAACTAGGACGGAACGCACGCATCATCGCGACGCTGATCGCAACCCGAGGTGGTTCACGTCGGTCGACTCAAGCGATGGTACGCTCAATAGGGCTGTAGACCTCAAGTGTTCCAAATCACTCTTTAGTTTACCGTTCTTTTTATTTGCTTTGTTCTGTTTTGTTTTGTGTTGCATCGGGGTGATGCAGTTTTTAAAGAAAAAGTAATGCTGCGCGCGCAGCTGGCCAAGTGGACAGCGTGTCCATGGCCTAACGGCAGCAGCTGCAAAGGAACGTCTGTAACCAATTAGAAGAGCCAATCAGCGTTTGGGAATTGGAAAAGGCCATTGACGAGTAAGTAGCGGCAACACGCCCGGACAAACGGCCTGGGTGCCGACTTTTACAAATAATTTGA